GGTTTTTTTTTAATTTTTTTTTTTTTTTTTTTTTTTTTAGTTTTTCGAGACAGGGTTTCTCTGTGGCTTTGGAGCCTGTCCTGGAACTAGCTCTTGTAGACCAGGCTGGTCTCGAACTCACAGAGATCCGCCTGCGTCTGCCTCCCGAGTACTGGGATTAAAGGCGTGCACCACCATCGCCCGGCTTTTAAATTTATTTTTATTTTATGCTCACTGGTACATGTATGTCTGTGTGAGGGAGTCAGAAGCCCTGGAACTTGAGTAACAGACATGTGTGAGCTACCATGTGGGTGCTGGAAATTGAACCTGGCTCCTCTGAAAGTATAGGTAGTGCTATTAACCACTGAGCCATCTCTCCATCCCCAAGAGAGCTTTTTTTAAGACTTATTATTTAGTTGTCTTTTCATTTATTACGTGCTTCAAGCTGGCCTTGATTTACTGTATAACCAAAGATGATGTCAAGCTCCCTAATCATCCTGCTTTTGCTTTCTGAGTCCTGAGATTATAGCATACTCAACCACCACACCCAGTCTTATGAGGTTCTGAAGATTGTGCTACATTTCATTCCCAAGGTTTAGGTTGAAATAGTGAGCAAGAAGCCAAGCATGGTGCCACATGCCTTTAGTCATAGCACTTGGGAGACAGAGGCAGGTTGGATCTCTGAGTTCAAAGCCAACCTGATCTACATAGAATCCCAGGACAACCATGGTTTACAGAGAGAAACCCTGTCTCAAAAAACAAAAAGAGAAGATATATAGAAGGCAAAAGAATGTTCAGTTGAACAGTCCTGAACACAGTGCTGTCTCACTCATTGTAGGTTTACCATTGTCTCAGCTCTGTTCTAGCCTGCCTGCTGGGTAAATTCTCAGAAGTGTTAAAATCTCGTCCTCGGAAGCAGGTTCCTTCTGATGATGTGGGATTTTCCTTTGTATGCTGTGAATCTGTTTTATTACCATTGGTTAATGAATAAAGCTGCTTTGGCCTATTAGCTCAGGCTTCTTATTGGCTAGCTCTTACATATCTTAAATTAACCCATTTCTGTTATTTTATATTTACCATGAGGCTTATGGTTTGTACCTCTTGCTTCTTGGGCAGCAACATAGCATCTGCCTCTTTTGGCAGTTACATGGTGTCTCTCTGGCTCCACCAACTCTCTCTATATATATCTCTGTTCAGATTTCAAGCCTGGCTTTGCTCTGCTAAGCCATTAGCCAAAATAGCTTTATTCATCAACCATTAAAAGCAACACATAAACAGAAGGGCATCCCACATCATTCTCTAACTGGTGTCAAGACTACAGACTTTTCTCTTTTCCCAGCATGAGATTCCTTGGGAGATTATAATTCTTTGGGATTCATTGTTTTAATTGTTGGAGCATAAGTGTCTCTCTTTAGGATATCTCTTTTTTCAGGAAGGTTACATTATCGCTCTAGTACCTTCAAGAAGGACCCTGGACTCTTGCCCAAGAGTCTAGTACTCCAGCTCTGACCAGTGTTCTTTTTCTTCTAGGGAATGTGCATTTCTTCTCTGGTGGCCTCCTGTTTTCTCACCGTCACCATGGAAGTATCATCATTTCCAAGGATCACATGAATTCTGTTTCCTTCTATGATGGGGTATGTGGTTTTTCAACCCTGGCTTTGGTGCTCTAAAATATATTTTACATATAGACCGTTTTCCCTTCTCCATTACCATGTGGCAGGATGTCAGGAACCCCCATTGAAGCAGGCCAGCAGGGGGATGAAGAGAGGCTTGTATATTTTCAGAACAGTTCAGTGCTTTGCTAATAAGGCCTGGGTCAGAAGAACCAACCACATGCCCAAGTTGGTCATCCTAAAGATAGTAGAAAGTAGCTGAAAAAGACCTCCAATGGCTCATCCAATGGCCATCACACAAGCCCAAGGCTCACACTTCTGAACTGGAAGGTTCATCTATGATGTTGGTGGGTTTCTAACCACAGGAAAGAATTGTATGTGTTCAAGGAGGTAAAAATTGCTCACTTTCTCCATGAGACTTGAAAGCAGAACTGGTCCCCGCCCCTTGCTCATCAATGCAAGGAGTGAACTAGCCAGGGCAATGTAGGAGAGCTCACCTTTGTGGAGAGGACAAGTGAGAGCTGGTGGGCTGACAAACCTGCAGCTAACCATGTTTCTCCTGGAGCATGTGAATAGACCAGTCTTGCAGACCCAAAACTGCGGTCCCCATAACACAGGGCAACAACAGGATATCCAAGAAAAATCCCAGTGAGGGCCCAGAATCAATAGTATAGCAGAAATGAGAGAGTTTGAACCAGACCAATGACTCTGCAGTGAACACTTGCAAGTAAAGATTTATGGACAAGAGGGTCTATGGCATAACTCAGTGTCACACTGCAGCTTCCATATCAAGATTGATTTTTCTTTTTTTTTTATTTTTCTCTTAAATTTTATTTTATTTTATTGGGGGGGTTGCAAGGGTAGAGGGTGGATACAAAGGGATGGGGAAATGGATAGGATAGAGATGCATGATGTGAAAGACACAAAGAATAAATAAAAAAGAAAGAAACAGTGATCAAGAGGCTAGTGAGGTGGCTCAGCAGTTAAGAGCATTTACAGCCCTTCCAGAGGACCCAGATTTATTTCCCAGTACCCGTGTCAGCTCACAACCATGTCAGACAGCTCATGACCACTTGTAACTCCACCTCTAGGGATTCTGACACCAGCAATACATGACAGATACTCCAGCATGTACATGAATACAATTTTAAAATTTTGCTTTAAGAATAAAGAAACGGGCTACACAGTGGTGTCATAACTGAGTAGTAGCACGCCTTTAATCCCAGCACTTGAGAGGCAGAGGCAGAAAGATCTCTGTGAGTTCGAGACCAGCCTGGTCTACAAAGCAAGTTCCAGGACAGGCTCCAAAGCTACACAGAGAAATCCTGTTTTTAAAAAAAAGAAAGAAAAGAAAAGAAAAACAACAACAACAAATGGGTTTGAAGAGATGGCTCAGCAGTTAAGAGCACTTGTTATTCTTGTAGAGGACCTGGGTTCAGTTCCCAGCACCCACATATTAACTCATAACCATCCATAACTCCAGTTCCAGGGGATGTAATGCCCTCTTCTGACCCCCTTGAGTACCAGGCACACATGTAGTGCACATACACATAGGAAGGCAAAACATTCATAAAGTAAAATAAATCTTTAGAAACAAAAAGAATGAAGAAGCAGTGTTGGGATAGCAAGATTAGCTCATTGGGGGGGGCAATTCTATTTGTTTGTTTGGTTTTGTTTTATTTTGTTTGAGACAGGGTGTCTCTACCTACCCTTGGTTGTCCTGGAACTTATTATATAGACCAGGTTGGCCTCAAACTCAGGGCAGTCCTCCTGCCTCTGCCTCTCAAGTGCTGGGATTAAAGGCGTGTGCCACTACCATGCCCGAGTGTGGGAGTAGATTCTTACCCCATTAAAAAAATTGATGTAGGCTCTGAAGAGATGGTTCAGTGACTAAAAGCACTTGCTCTGCTCCTCCATAGAACCAGGTACCCATGTCAGCCATTTACAACTACCTTTAACTCAGACTCCAAGAGGGTTCAACTCCTGCTCTGGTCTCTCCTGACACCTACACTCACATGGAGACATGCACACATACATTTTAACTTTATTACTGGTAGAGAAGAGGCATGCATCCCACAGTGCACACACGAAGGTCTGAGGGCAGTCTTCAGGAGTCAGTCCTTTCTTCCATCATGAGTTCTGGGCATCAAATTAAGATTTTCAGGCTAAGCCGGGCAGTGGTGGCGCACACCTTTAATCCCAGCACTTGGGAGGCAGAGGCAGGCGGATCTCTGTGAGTTCGAGACCAGCCTGGTCTACAAGAGCTAGTTCCAGGACAGGCTCCAAAACCACAGAGAAACCCTGTCTCGAAAAACCAAAAAAAAGAAAAAAGAAAAAAAAAAAGATTATCAGGCTATGTGGCAAGTGCTTTTACTTCCTGAGCCATCTCTCCAGCCACAAATTAAATATTTAAAATTTCATAAGTATATACCAAAATTAAATCAAAACCAGATAAGCAAATTAATTCGACCTATATAACCACAAAGGAAACAATCATCAAAAGTCTTCCAACCAGAGCGTGCGCCGTGGGGGTGCGCAGGTCTCAGGATGACTTGAACCATGGAACCGCTGGCAAGGAAGATCTTTAAAGGAGTTTTAGCAGCTGAACTTGTGGGTGTTTTTGGAGCTTATTTTTTGTTTGAAAAGATGAACTCGAGCCAAGATTTCAGGCAAACAATGAGCAAGACATTCCCCTTCATCTTGGAAGTTTATTACAAATCCATGGAACAGTCTGGAATGTATGGAGTGAGAGAGAAAGATCAAGAAAAGTGGTTGGATAGCAAGAATTAAGGCCAGTCATCACGCTCAGCTTCCCACTTGAGCTGTTTGAAGCCTTGGAGGGGAGATGGAAGATGAGTCCACGTCACTGCGGGCTCGACTCCCACAGTCCTCCCGAGTGGGACTGCATCTTAGGGCGCATGGCCTGTGCTCTCCCACCCCACCCTCCCCCGCTGTGGAAACCCGCTGTTGGGTGCTCTCCTGTGTTTTCTAACATGAGTATTTGACAAATGAAACTAGTAACATCAGAAATTTAAAAATGTCTTCAAGCATATAAGAGTAAACCTTTAGCCAAGTCAAAATAAAAGACTGACTCTCCAAGAAAAAAAAAAAAAAAAGTCTTCCAACCAAAAAAAAAAAGCACAGGACCAGATGGTTTCAGCCAGAATTCTACAAGATGTTCAACGAAGAACTAATAACCAATGTTCTTCAAATTGTTCCACACAATAGAAGCAGAAGGGACATTGCCAAACTCATTTTACGAGGCTAAAGTTACCCTGATACTCAAACCTCCAAAGACACTACTAAGAGAATTACAGGCCAATCTTACTCATGAATATTGATGCAAAAATACTCAATAAAATACTGACAAGCCGAATCCAAGAACACATCAGAAAAACTATCCACCATTACTAAGTTTCATCCCAGAGATGCAAAGATGTTTGAACATATGAAAATCTATCAATGTAATCCCACCATATAATCAAACTGAAAGAAAAAACTATGTGACCATTCGATTAGATGTTGAAAAAGCTTTTGGCAAAATTCAACACCTCTTCGCGATAAAAGTCTTGGAGAGAACAGGGATACAAGGAATATAATAAAGGCAGTATACAGCAAACCAACAGCCAACATCAAACTAAATGGAGAGAAATTCAAAGCGATCCCACTGGAAATCAAAAAAGACAAGGTTGTTCACTCTCTCCATATTTATTCAATATAATACTTGAAGTTCTAGCTAGAGCATTAAGACAACAAAAGGAGGTCAAGGGCATACAAATCGGAAAAGAAGAAATCAAACTCTCACTATTTGCTGAGCGATATGATAGTATACATAAGTGACCCCAAAAATTCTGCCAGGGAACTCCTACAACTTATAAACACCTTCAATAATGTAGCAGGATATAGGATTAACTTTTAAAAAATCAGTAGCCCTCTCTTATATAGATAATTAATGGGCTAAGAAAGAAATCAGCAAAACATCACAATAGCCACAAATAACATAAAATATCTTGGGGTAACTCTAATCACACAAGTGGAAGACCTGTATGACAAGAACTTTAAAACTTTGAAGAAAGAAACTGAAGAAGATACCAGAAAAAGGAAAGCTCTTGGATAGGTAGAATTAACATAGTAAAAATGGCAATTTTACCTAAAGCAATCTACAGATTCATTGCAGTGCCCATCAAAATCACACAAAAAAATTTTCATAGATCTCGGAAGAACAATACTCAACTCATATGGAACAACAAAAAACCTAGGATAGCCAAAACAATCCTGTACAACAAAGGAATTTCTGGAGGCATCACAATCCCTGACTTCAAACTCTACTATAGAACACAGCTATAGAACTCTACTCTAAAAAACAGCCTGGTATTGGCATAAAAACACAGAGGAGAACCAATGGAATTTAATTGAAGACCCGGATTTAAATCCACACACCTACAAACACCTTATTTTTGACAAAGAAGCAAAAAAATATCAAATGGAAAAAAGAAAGCATATTCAACAAATGCTACTGGCATAACTAGATATCAACATGTAGAAAAATGAAAATAGATCCATATCTATCACCATGCACAAAACTCAAGTCCAAATGGATCAAAGACCTCAACATAAAACCAACCACGCTGAACCTCATAAAAGAGGAAGTGAGAAATACATTTGAATGCATTGTCACAGGAGACCACTTCCTAAATAGAACCCTAGAAGCACAGACACTGAGAGAAACAACTAACAAATAGGACGTCCTGAAATGGAAAAGCTTCTGTAAAGCAAAGGACATGATCAACAAGACAAAATGACAGCCTACAGAATGGGAAAAGATCTTGACTAACCCCACATCAGACAGAGGTCTGACTTCCAAAATATACAAAGAACTCAAGAAATTGGTCATCAAAAGATCACATAATCCAATAAAATAATGGAGTACAGACCTAAACAGAGAACTCTCAACAGAGGAATCTAAAATGACTGAAGGACACTTAAGGAAATGTTCAACATCCTTAATCATCAGAGAAATGCAAATCAAAATTTGCATCTTACACCTGTCTTAATGGCCAAGATCAAAAACACTGATGACAGCTTATACTGGAGAGGATGTGGGGTAAGGGGACTGCTCCTGCATTGCTGGTGTGAGTGCAAATATGTATAACTGCTCTGGAAATCAGTATGGCTATTTCTCACAAAATTAGGAAACAATCTACCTGAAGACCCAGCAATACCGCTGTTGGGTATATACCCAAAGGATTTTCAGTTGTACCACAAGGATATATGTTCAACTGTGTTCATAGCAGCATTATTTGTAATAGTCAGAACCTGGAAACAACCTAGATGTCCCTCAAACAAAGTATGGATAAAGAAAATGTTGTACTGCCAGGTGGTGGAGCATGCCTTTAATCCCAGCACTCAGGAGGCAGAGGCAGGTTAATCTCTGTGAATTTGAGGCCAGCCTGGTCTACAGAGCGAATTCCAGAATTGATTCCATAGCTACTGAGAAACACTGTCTTGACAAACCAAAAAGAAAAGAAATAAAGAAAATGGAAAATGTGGTACATTTTTACAACAGAGTACTACACAATAGTAAAAGATAATGATATCTTGAAATCTGCATGAAAATGGATGGATCTAGAAAAAGCCATATTGATTGAGGTAACTCAGCCCTGGAAAGACAGATATAATGTGTACTCACACATAAGTGGCTTCTAGACATAAAGCAAAGAAGAAAACCAACCTAGACAACAAAGAGGACCCTAAGAAAGACATAACATGGATTCACATAGGAAGTAGAAAAAGACAAGATCTCCTGAGTAAATTGGGAGTGTAGGGTTCACAGGAGAGGGTAGAAGGGGAGGGGAAGGAAAAGAAGGGACCTCAATGAAAACAATTTAAAAATCCATATGTATAAAAGATATAAAAATAAATGTTCATTAATCTCTAGGAGCAGAAAGACTTCCTAAGCTTAGGAGATACTTAAGAGCCTTAGATGTTGTAGTGCATGCCTGTAATTCAGCACTCAGGAGCAGAGGCAAAAAGATTGCCACAAATTTGAGGCCAGTCTGGTTCACATAGGAAGTTCCACGCCAGCCCGGGTTATATAAAGAGAGACCTTGTGTGCAAGCTTCGTTTCTGTTGTTGAAACAAATACCCTAACAAAAAGCAACTTTACAAAGAAAGGACTTAGACGTTACAGTTCATTGTGGTAGGGAGGTCACAGTGGTAAGAGAACTTGAAGCAGATAGTCACACCACATCTAGCTTTAAATTTTGGGTGGATAGGTTGCCGGGCAATGGTGGTGCATGCCTTTAATCCCAGCACTTGGGAGGCAGAGGCAGGCGGATCTCTGTGAGTTTGAGGCCAGCCTGATCTACAAGAGCTAGTTCCAGGACAGGCACCAATAACTACAGAGAAACCCTGTCTCGAAAATCAAAAAAAAAAAAAAAAAAAAAAAAAATCTGGGTGGGTAGTCTGAATCTCGCTGAGGCCTCCAGAAAATGATTTTCCCACTAGTTGAGAATAAGACTACTACCACAGTTTAAATCCAAATTTGAAACAAGATTTAATTAAATATTGGCCAGGTCCATACCTGGGTTCCTGGGAAATGGCCCAGAATTAAGTATGGCAAGGTCTTAAGAAGGAAAACCCATAATTCATTGCATTTTCCATCAGGTCTAATCAGGGGCAAGCATGCATCCTGACCTATTTCCTGCCTGTGAACCTCCCACCCACATGTGATCCTGTGCAGATGGGTCAAACAAACTTGGTTAGGGAAGTGCAAATGTGGCTGGCTTGTTATCTCCCATAAAAAAAATAGCCTCTAACATTTCAGAAACTGACTGTTCTTGGGCAAGGGGCTTGCAGATTAGAACCATTTTTTTGTTTCATGGCTCTCTAAGGCATAGTAATTAAAACTTAATATTTAATTTTGTTCACTCACATCTCCAAGAAAAAAACAAAATGAATAAACTTAAGTTCTAAAGAAGGGCTGGAAATGGCTCAGTAGTTGAAGTATTTGCCCAACTTGAGGTTGAGTATGGTGGCATAGACCTTTAATCGCAGCACTGTGTGAGTTTAAGCACACCCTGGTCTCTCTAGTGACTTCCAGGTCAAGTCGAGCTACCCAGTCTTAAAAATAAATTAGATTATGTATGTAATGGCATAATATAGACTCTGTTCTATTTTACTATACCATACTGTTAGGTTACTTTAACCTTATACTGAGTTTCGTTTCCATGTTTTTGAGACCAGGTCTCACTGTGTAGCTCAGACTTTGCTTTATGTAGACTAGGCTGTCTTTTAATTCACAAAGATCAGCCTGCCTTCCCCACCTGGGTGCTGGTATTAAAGGAGTGTCTCACCACACCCCACTCCATTTAAAGAATTTTTTAAAGAAACAAACCAACCATTCAGCAATCAAACTAAATAAACATTTACTTTAGAACTTGTTTTTCTTCATTCCGTGGGGGGGGGGGGGTCTGTGCATATAGGTATGTTTACGTGTGTATATGCGAATTGCATGGGCATGCATGTGGAAGCCTGAGGTTGATAGCAAGCATCTTGTTCAGTTGTTATTTCCTCCTCTCTCTTATTTTTACACAGACTCTCACCATGTAGCTTTAGCTGTCCTGGAACTCTCTGTGTTGACCACAAACTCACAGAGATCCAGCTGCCTCTGCCTCTGCCTCTCTGCCTCTGCCTCCTGTATGTTAGGATTAAAGGCTGTTCCTTCCTTAACCTTTTCAGACAAGGCATCTTAACCACAGCCAGAGCTCATTGATACAGGTCACCTTGCTAGCAGCTTACTCCAAGGATCTTGTCTAAACCTTTTAAGATTATGCAAATAATTTACTTCCAAGAATCCAAACTCAGGTCCTCTCTTTTTCTTCTATTATCTTTTATTTCATTCATTTTTTAATACAGGGACTCTCTGTGTGGCTCTGGCTGGCTTGTAACTCACAGTGATCTATTGAGGAAAGTATAGTCTTTTTATAAAAATTATTTATCTATTTGTTTATTGTGTGTGTGTGTTTATTTTGTGTACATGTATATCTGTGCACCATGTGTGCCTGCTGCCCACAGAGGCCAGAAGAGAGTTTGGATCCCTGGAACTGGAGTTG